GTCCAATTCAACAGATGATAGATCATACTTCACTTGCTCACTTCAAGCTATTGTTCTCCAGTACATTGAAATTACAATATGTGAAACCTTGTTGCTTGTTTTTTAGATAACATACTCTGGATATTTTATGAATCACAAGTCATAAAAAATAATGAATATAATAAGAGTGCATGTAATGCTACCTCTTGCAGATAACATTGATGGCAGAATTTTAAAAATCTGACAAAAGAATGGAACTCTGGACAATCTCGAGTTATGTTCTAGATAAAATCATGAAGAGCACGACAATTTTCCTTTTCTTAGAGAACATACCATATGAGAAAATCATGAAGGCCCATCAGGATTTATTAATTGCATAAGATGGATTCCAGTTTTCATTGCAACCAACGAACATGTGATTTCATATCACTGTAAGGAACAAAACATGCAGCACCTTAGTGTTCTAACATCATGATTAACATTCATCAGAAACACAACCTTACAATGAGATTCATGGTCTTCACTGTAAGGAACAAAACATGCAGCACCTTAGTGTTCTAACATCATGATTAACATTCATCAGAAACACAACCTTACAATGAGATTCATGGTCTTCACGACAAGGAAAAAACAAGTCATCCTGAGCGACAAAATCTGAACTCCTCTTTATTCCCCCCCATAAATAAACCTCCTGATAAGTATAACCAAACAAGATACTACAAAAATTCATCATTAAGATATAGTAAGTCGCTTCTTTCTTTGTTCACCATGTTAACCAAATATCAGAGTAAATTATTTCAATATTTGTCTGCCTAAAGTATCTGGATGCAAATACTTCATTTACTGCAAACATTTCATTTGCTAAAGGATAAAATCATGTTTCGAGTCATGTATTAAAAAAGCAGCCCGCTTGCTCGTAATGCTTATGCAACAATAACCATGTCCCCCTGATGTCTTCCTGTTCAATGAAATGAAACGCAAAGTCTCTTGCGTTTTCTCGAAAAACAATAACCATGCATGTGATTCAGCTTTTAAGTCAATGAGAAATTCTAAACAAACAGGAGATAAACAAAAATAATTTTAATAAACCAATGAATGCTTTTTTTTAAACAACACCTATAAAAAGTACTCCCTCTGTAAACTAATATAAGAGCGTTCTAAACGCTCTTATATTAGTTTACAGAGGGGGTAGTTGCATGGTAAAAGATTACCAGTATTTGAAACCTCATGGAAATTTCTTGTGTGTAAAGCAGAGGCAAAGAAACACTGAAGTGCACATAGATGATGGCACAAATTCTGAACATAAACTATTAAAGGGTTTCTGCCTGCAAAATTAAATTACTAACTCAATCCCAACTTTTGGGATAAATTTGGCATTAGTGATTCACCCTGGAAAATTAGTCCATAGTATTTCCATGTGCACACCCAAAATTTTATTTCTGCCATGCACTAGGCTACAAGACTCATGTGCCATATGAAATACAGAACTCAATCAAGTAGCCTGCAATCGTACTACATACATATATCGAAAGCCAACATAATAAAAACATAATCCCAATAAAGAAGTTAACTGAATTTTGATGGAAACCAAATTCACAATAGCATAAACAGCATTCATGTACTCAATACTTGTTTTCTTTAGGGAACACAAAATAGACATACAGAGTGTTCCAAACAAATGATTTAATGAAGGCTTAGAGATGCAATCCAACAACAGAGTAAATAAATCAAAGGGCCTGCCACATGCAGCGGCCTGCATGCTATGCGACCTGCTTGTGGAATGCTTGTTTGCTAGCCGAAGCTGGCATGAGGTCATATCCTAGGTATGATCTTCGATGGTGCAAACAAGACTTGGGAGACTTAATAAACAAGATAAAATCTGAGGGCAGGAACTGTGTTTCTGCGGGTGTGGTAGCATTATGCTTCATCTTTACAGAGGTTAATCCAGCTTGTACTGCAGCAGCATGCGTGTGTTGTGGCCTAGTCCAAGGAATATATATAAACTCTCTTCTTCCATCAATGCATCGAGACGCGTAACTTTTGTGTTTCCTTGAGAAACAAAATATCAAGCAGGGAAGATTACGACAACCTGAGTGGATTAGAAACTTGAGTGAACTATGTGCAGTATGCACTACTAGTGAATTAGTGTGGCATGAGTGAAGATATATGAAGTACCAAATGTTCATATGAATGTTAAAGGCTCCATGATTCTGAATTCCGACATGTCACTTGCATACACTGCCACATTGTTTTTTTTTTCGAGAAAACGCAAGAGACTTTGCGTTTCATTTCATTGAACAGGAAGACATCAGGGGTACAACCTCCAGAAGGGAGGGACACACACACACACACACACACACAAATACACAACCGTCCTCACCAAGCGACTACAACTAGGTGAGGAGGTGCCCTCAACTATAGACACGCAACGACATTAGGCCTCGCCCAGCAGGGCAGCGTCACTGCCATTGCCAGACAGCTCCAGGGACGATTGCAGCTCCAGGACTGCCCAGGCCAATGTACCTCTCACCCATGTGCCTAGAGAGTCGGCGGGTGAAGGGCAGGGCTCAACAGGAACTGGTGTAGCAACCGTTGGAGAAGCGCGGGCGCTGGCATACATTGCGATCCGCTCCCTGTGTAGCAGTCTACGCCAGAGCGATGCATCACCAGCCTCCATCTGCCGCATCAAACTTCACTTGCAGCCAAAGCAGCGCCTACAAGAAGGGAACGGCGCTGAGACGCCGCCGCTGCCCGGTCCGGGAGGCCGGACCTGGGATTTCTCCCGGTGCTCGAGGAGGAGATCTGGTCAGGGTCATGCCAACGCCTCCAAGGAGGTGACGGCACCCTCGGGCGTCGCCGTTGACAGCGCAGGCCGTCGCCGCGCGGGGATTTCGCCCCGACCCATGAACAGGGACCTCAGATGCAATGGCAGACCGGACTTGGAGAAGAACGCCGGAGAAGACCAGCACACATGGAGGGATGCCTAGGAACGTTGTAGTCACAGGAGGAGCACCGACCGGCGCAGCGCCAGCAGGCCGGCCACCGCCGGGAGCACGACGAGCAGGCGACAACAGCCACCTGCACCGCGCCGCCGCCGCGCCGGCCCGCAGCCTCCACCGCCAGGAACCGCCGGGGCACAGCAGAGCAGCAGCCGTCAAGGACTGCCGCGCGCGTGCTCACCCGCCCAGCGGCTACCACCGACGGCAGCCGGGAGGGGTGGAAGGAGGGGGACGGGTGGGTTGGGGCAGAAACGCGCAACCCAGATCTGGGCGCCCTCATCTCTGCAGCTCGCAGCAGCGGCCGGCCGCTGCCACAGCAGCGCCACCGCGCATGCGTTCCACACCATCACGGCCTCCCCTGAGCGCAGACGACCGCCTGCCTCGCCACCGCGCGCTCCCGCCGCTCCAGCGCACAAACAGCAGCGCGCGAGCCCACGGACAAGGGCCCCGCCGCCGCCGTCCACCGGCGAGGGCTACGCCCGCCGGTATCCTCCAGCGATGGCGAGGGGAGGGAGGGGAGGAGGGGAGTTTGAGGTGGCGGCTAGGGTTTCGCCACCCGAGTCGCCCCCTGGGAGCGACGCGGGGGCCGGGGAGTTGTGGTTCTCTTCTTCTGCCACATTGTTTTTATTAGGTGAACCCTAAGCAGAGGAACATTGCAAAACTTTAAGGATAAAACTCAGAAAAGAACTTTGGATTTTTTTTCATACACAAAGTTAGTTGTTTATTATCGTGTATCAAATATAAGCAATGTTAGAGTGTAGCAAATATAAGCAATGTTAGAGTGTAGCGTATAGGCCTATGAGTTCTACTAGCCTAGTTTGCCCATGGGGCACACTCCCAAACGTACTACCCTTCTCCTGTTTAACAACGGACAACGAACAAGTGGGCATTTTGCCCATAACTCTTCTCCCGTTTTGCTATCGTATACCAAATATAAGCAATGTTAGAGTGTCATGTATAGTCCCATGAGTTCTACTACCCTAGTTTGCCCATGAGGCACACTCGCAAATGTACTACTCTTCTCCTGTTTAACAACGAACAAGTGGGCATTTTGCCCATAACTCTTCTCAAGCAAATATGTATATATATATATCTCCTCTAACAACGAGCAAGTGGGCATTTTTCCCATAACTCTTCTCCCGTTTGCTTTAATAAAGGGAAGTGTTTAGGAACGGCGCACCGGCCGAACCGTTCCGCCGGTTCGCTTTCGCCTCGCTGGTGCTAGCCACCAGGGAAGCAACACGTGTACCTTATCCTCTTCCCAACGCCCCATCCACTCCTTCCTCCCAATCGCTCAGGCAAGAAACTCCATGGATCCAGGCCAGCCATCAGCTCTTGCCTCCTGTGCCGTTCGTGCGCCCCTCGGGGACAACGCTGCCGTGCCATTTCCATGGCTGCGCTCATCGCCATGGCCGCGCCGTCGACTGATGGCCGAAGAGGAATCGCGGGGAGGATACGAGGAGGCGCAGGCCATGGCGGCGCGCACGAGCGAGAGGATGGGCATCGCGCAGGGATCTCGGCCACTGCGTCGTCAGGTACCTATCGGAACGGCGCTACAGCGGTGATGGCCATGGGCGGGCGTGGGAGCTCAGCGGAGGAGTAACACCAGCTGTGAAATGGATGTAGCAAATTCCATTACCGGTTGTAGCAAACATCAACTATGGTTGCAGCAAAACTACGTCATCATCGTCGCAGAGGTCGCAGCTA